GAATTGAGCAGCTCTGTGATGCTGCGAGCGAGTGGGATTTAAAGACTGCTTAACAAATGAAATCAAACTGTCAGAAAACTGTAGCTCCTAGCCCATTAAATTAAGTGTTTGTTCATCAACTGACTGTATAACAGCAACTTTTCACATCCAAACACACAATGAAGATCAAGCTTCTCTCATAAAGGGAAAAGAGGTTTGCTCTCACATTCGCATACTGGATGGAAACATTTCTTGCTGCTTTTTGCTTAACAAAAAAAACGCACTCAGGAAATCGCCATTGCAATAAATCTAGGATGACCCTTTCAGGGGTGATATTGTATTTCATTTCCTCTGCGCAAAAAACTGATCCTTGGATTCATGTGACTCTGGCTCATTTCAATTTCATGTTCTCTTATGATTCAAAACTTTCCAGGTTCCCAGTTATTATAAATACAGCATTTGTTACACAACGCTATACAAAAATATATCTGGTGCTCTGTGTGGAAACCGAAAAGCTGCATTCAGCTACATGTTGTGGAAAAGTGCTGACAAAACTGTAGTAGAAATAAAGACAAAAAACAATCATGATGATTTATCTGCCTCCATATGGCTCTCAATCTACAAGAAAGTCCATTCCAGATGATAAACCCCTGCCTTATTTCTTGAAATGCCTCCAGTTGGGCAGAATTTCCATGCAAGACTGATACATTAGAATTTTTTTTCTCCCTCTGTGCTAGTTCTCACCACACAGATTGACCAGTCATCTGTGAATCTCCCATGGTTTAGCTGATAATTCATGATCGCCCTGCCACAGGCCCGCAACATTCAATATGAATTATAAAATGGCAAGCCAAGCATATCAATGGATGACAGGCTGGATGTGTATGGCCCGGGGCCAGAGAGGAGTTACAGCACAATAGCTTCCCCATTCAGTCAACCCCAGGACTGGAAATACCAGTGTGGCATGAGGGAGGGTCTTCCATCAGCACAATGTATGGCACTGCTTTAGACAAATGTTGTGCTGAGACATATTGTTAACCTTTACAACCTTTTTGAAGGGAAACACAAGCATGCTGGTATGCTCAACCAAGGAATATTTCGCAATCAAAACAATCTCCCTAAGACAGAAATGTATGATGTTTTATCCAGAGCAGCTCAAACTAATAAAAAAAAATCATTTTTAAGGAATCTACTGTTCCTTTTTGAGTCTACTGAATGGATTATTGAAAAGCATTATAACGTCTCTCATTCACTCACCCTGCCTATGTTGGAACACTTTAGGACCTAAACAAATACTCTTCTGATCCCTGTTTCTGCAGATATGACACAGCTATCCAACATAAACCACTTAATCTTTTACATTTCCCCTTTGTGCTGTATTTAGATATCAAGACAGAGGTGCCTGTTCTCCTTTTGGCATTTAAACACAACAGTGTTGACACTGACTGCACGACATAATCCCCCCACAATCTGGCTTTCTTTACTTTAAAGACTCAGATAACAGTTCTCATTCACTCACAGCAGGTATGTGCCTGTACACTTGTCCAACCTTTGTGGCGGCTCCCTTTGATAGTGGTCATCTTCTTTCATATGTGTAGACTGGGCGGTCTGAAACATCTAAAACAAATCTGATACCTGCATGACCTACTTTTGCCTAGCAGTAGCGTCATTTTATACATCTGTTATATAATGGCACAAGGAGGTGGGAGAAATGTACAAATACAAACAAGAAATAGCATCTATGGAAAACCAGTGTGGTGTGTGTTTTCTCTGCACCATTACACCCAATTAAAAATATTAAAAAGATAAAAATTTGACATTATTTAAAGTTATAATCCTTATGATTTTCAGGTGATCAAAACCAATTTTTGATGGTATTTAATTATGGCCTGCAGTTTTTAGCAATAGCCATTAAATATATTTACATTCTGTAATTATTTTTCTATATATTAGTTTTCATTGTTAGTGGTGGGGTCCGCCATTGCTCCACTGGATTCAAACTGCCCTTGCCCACAAAATAAATTCACAGGAAAACAACTAATGAATGTAATCCAGCATTACAGTTCAATTTTATGTCAATTATATCAGCCTCACTGTTTACTGACTTTACACTGTATCAGGGATGTAGGTCACTGCCAATGCAAACCTAACATTTTTTTACCTTAAAGATGGGATAAGCGATTCTGGAGAAATCAATTTCCATGACAAATACCATGATATAGAGCAAACAACGACACAGTATAATGTAACTCATTGTAGCTAGGTTGTGGGGTTAGCAAACTGCTGATACAGTTGCTGGTGTGAAGCTAACACACAAAGAAGAACGAGACGGTCCCAGAGCCAGCACAATAGCTCCAAACAGCGATACTCTCAACAGCTATCTTATAACTATAGCTAACATCAGAACAACAGCACATCTTGGCAAAACACACACACAGAATTGACAGCTATTGGACTATGAGGAGATATTTGCTGAATCTGACAAAAAGACGTGTATTGTAAAGTTGTACTCCTTAAGATTTCAATCCCATTTGATTTGGCGACACCTGTGGTTACTTGTGGTAGGACTAACAACATGTGCGGTTTAATACTACAAGTCACAGAATTCAGGGTGCAGCAAACCAAATTATTCTCATTTTAATAATGAAGTCAAGCAGTAATTGGCAACTGTGATCTGATTTCATGCTGCACACAGCATGAGTCTTTGTACAGCAGGGCACAGTGAAGTGGGTTGGTTACCTAGAGAAGTTGGTGTACAGCCTGTTGCCTGCAGCTATTCATCTAACAGCTCACTGTGGCTGCCCCATCTTGTTGAATTACTCCTTGCAAACTAATCCGCTATCATAAAAATGGCCAAAATGACATTGTTTTTTTGGCGCATGTTTGATGAACAATAGCGGTCAGTGCTAATCTCACTGGCAAACACATTGCATTTTCTGTGACTATGTCATAATAAATGCTTAAAATGTGAAGCTGCAGCAGTAGGAAATGTTCAGTTTGTATTAGCAGTAACTTACAGATACAATTTTTTCCGCGAAGGTCGCCACTAACACCTTGGTCGTAATACTGCAAATGTAAGGGCTTTTATCAGTGGGCCATAGACTCAATCGTCATTGTGTTAACTCATTCTGCAATAGATAGTCACTTAAGAAATTCATTTAAATAGAAATCTTCATGATCATTACTTTAATACTTCACATTAAAAGCATTCAATTGGCTGAACACGGGGTGGCTTTTATAGTAAAGCAGTCACACAGAGGTCAGCACTAAGCGCGACTGTTCATAAAAAGTGCATCTACAAAACAAGAAAACAGATCTTTTCTGCATTTTTTGTCAGCTTATAATATTGTGCACTGTAAAGCACTGTAAAGCCGAGCGGAGCTGCCGATTCAGGTGATAATACTGGGTTCATCACTACGCGCAACCATCATCATTTGATACACCGTTTATATAAAAATATTGATTGATTATAGACACTTTAAGGATTATAACTTTAAATGAATGCCCCTTTATAGAAAATACTAAAATAATCTATGCTCGGCCTTTATATGGCTTATGAAAACACAGGCCCGTCTGATGTTCATGTTTCTCACTGGCCAGGAAAGTCAACACCGGGAGAGAGAAAAATCACTTTCTTTTCACGAGCATTTCAAAGTGTGAGGAATGTTTTGGGTGAAGATGATAACCTGATTATAGTCTCTCCTGGTGAGGGACAGGAGACAATTATCAAGTAGAGTTTTTGTTGCAGGGAATCTGATGGAAACGTAGATCATAAGCGCTGGGATGCAGGCCCTCAGGGCTGGACAGGCTGAAGGTGAGTGGCATGTGGATAGAATCAGATATTGTTTTCAGAGGGAGCCACACACACACACACACATTCCTTTATTGACAGATGGGCAAATATGCATTCTTAGGCCTTGAGAGTCCTCACATCAACTGAAACTCAAAACCTGGACTTTCTGCATACCAAAGCAGTATTCCTATTTAAGAAATTCAACGGGACTATTCAACTCAGTTTCAAAGCCAGACCAAATCAGAGGGCTATTCTTCAAATGCCTCAGTAAAACTCTTCCATATTATCTATAATTGCTAATCTACAAGAAAAAAAACCATCTCTGCTTGAAAGACTGCTGGGATAGCCTGTTCCATAGCAGTATGTCTTTGTTAACAAATTGTAGACCACAGACAGACCTAAAATAAAACGGCAAGAGAAATCTATCACAGAACAAAACAGCAAGAGAGAAGAAAAAGCAAAATCTAAATTGTAAAGGAAGCACCCCAAATAACGTGCTTCAACATCTATCCGTAATCAATGCTTGGCACACAAGCATGTGATTTTGGGTTACTTTATTTCCCGGTACAATGGGACTGAAAGGGGGAAAAATGTAATGATCATCATTAAGCAGACATACCAACATCAGTGGTTTTGATGGGCATGTAACAGATGGGAGTGTTTTGTGACAATACGTGTAATTACAGCCAAATGTACTATAAGAGCCTTGGGATGTCATTGTAGACAATTAAAAACACTGACACATTCTTTCCCAGTTCCTGAGTCTGGCTCTGAATCAAGAGCCCTGCATTTGATGGTTTCAGGTGTACTGGCTAAACAGAACGATCTGACTTAGACGCAAATAAAAAATGCATCTATTCTCTGCAGCGCCAGTGCCTGGTGCACACAATCTGTTATAAAGCTCTTAGTGGAGAAAAGGGGCAGTTATGAACCTTTAGGGGAAGGTCTCTGACACGCCGTTTGAGTGTTGTTCTGTAAGTGGAGACGTGTACCAGTCAATGTGTCCATGGGTTGCCAGGAATATTCAGTGTACTCAGTACAAAGTGTTTGAAACACCTTTTTCAAACTCCAAGGGTAAAACCACTGAAGAGGAACTATTAGCACACACTGAAGAATGTGTGCTAATACATTCACCACATTCATAAGCTGAATAATAAGTGGCTTCTTTAAAGGTTGACCAGAATCACATTAACACTACTCACCGCCACGTAACTCCATGGTAACTCACCTTGTGAATAGTGAAAGCAAAAGAGAAGGAGCAAGAGGCAGCTAAACACTGGACACCTCCACAGTGCAGAGGCCATTGTGTGCTGTATGCAAACGATCCAGGAGCCCAGTGGCTAATAATCGTGGTTCAGTGTGTTGCGGTGGGAGAGTGGAATGCTGGAGCGCTGGATGTCAACGATCAGTAGTTCTCGACGAAGCATCACCAGTCATCTTCTCATCTGGAATAAAAGGAGAGGAAAGAGCATGAAAATGGGGGACATTTGTGGTGTTTTATGTCCAAATTCTACACATGTGCATTGCAGTAAAATTAGTCATGCCTAAGTAGCTTATGAAATGTAGTGGAATACAAAACTGAACACCATTAAAAACAAGACTCCTGACTGCTGTTTGATTGAATACACAAAAGCATTTTTCATGTTCAAACTTTGTTCTCAAATGTTTATGAGATGAAAACAAAGCGGGTAGCGCCCGGTGCTCTGCACTTATTCAGAACTCTGCGGTGTGTTACAACTGAATGTTTACACTGCCTCATTCTCCCACTCTTCCCTGTTCCACCTTCCCCTTTTACTTCCAGAGCCCCGCGGGAGAGAGCTCGTCGCTCCGGCAACACGTTCACGCAGGACGCCATTAGAGACACAGCTGCTTTGTGAGCTACATTTGCCTCCTTCCTTATCAAGGGGTGGCAAAAACAGCCCTTTGTCTGCAAAAGCAGCAAAAGGTTAGAGCCTGAGACAGACTAACACACCAGACAGATAAGCCGCTTACCAAAGTCAAACACGGTGGAGGGATGTGTTGTGTCATATGTGAAATGCCATGCACACACACTCTCACACATTTGCATGCCTGCACAAACAAATAGCCAAGGACATGCATGCTCCCGCCGACACAGACCCACATGCAGAGATATCATCAACACACACACACGTGCTGACATAATATATTTTGTTTATTCCCACATGTGGTTGCCATCCAGCATCTCCCCAGTGCGCGTACACACACACACACACACACACATATCCATAAACAGGATTGGTCACTTGGTAGCGGTCTCTATGCAGACAAGGGTGAATGTTTCCTATTTCTGAATGCTGCTCCTCCAGAGCCACCTGTCAACCAACCTGATTATTTTATAATGAACCTAAATTTGAGCAGCAGAGCAGTCATCTCTGATCGCCTTCCGGGCCTCGCTAATGCGCTTGGATATTTTTGGCAATGTGAAAACCCACAAAACAAGGGAAGCTTTCATATTAGAATACCGAGTAATAATTTAAGTCACTACTGGATTTATCCTATACATGACCAATGCCTGGTCACGGCATAATAGCTGAAAAAAAGCCCTACTGGATCTGCACCTATAGCCTGACACAGCCTGAGAGTGTTTATTGTTATTTGAGGTCACACTGGCCGAGCGGTTCTGCAGCACAGTCTGAGCCAAGGAAACACACATATGGCTAACTTATAATTTATCAGTTAAACTTGGGTGGTTTTTATAGGAATTGTGGTTTTATTTTTCTTCCAGTTGTTTATCCGCCAGTGGCGCCGAACCAGATCAGATAAGAATGAAATGGAGGGTACAAGCTCTCCTGCACGGAAAGTCTCGCACCACAAGTCTACTGAGGCTGCTCATACTCTCAGGTCTTCAAACAACACTGCCATCAGTTCAATATTGGACAGAACACCAAATATCCAGAGACACACGTGACTTCTTCCTCAGCCATTTATCTTCTGCAAATATGAGGCCTGGGGCCATGGGGTAACCATAATGGTGGTTGACAGGAGGAGATTGGAAACTGTTGGGGGGACATCCCCCTGCCCTTCTGGCCTGCTGAGCCCGCTGAGCCACTCAGCCCATGCAGACACCAGGGGGCGAGAGCCTGCCAGGCCTCACAGATGTAGACTTGCCCTCACCACCCCGGGGTTCTTTCTCCTGATCAGCCGTCGCCCCGCTGAGTAACATGTCTCCTTTCTCCCTTAAGCTTGTGGAGGACACAGCAATGCTCATCTTCCCAAAAACACTGTTTTGTTTGGTGGGATTTCTGCACTGACTCGGTCTGGACTTGAGATAAAAGGATTAGGCGATTAACATTGTGATGCTTTACACAAGTACTGACAGACGTATCATAATTTCACATCAGGGGGGGGGGGGAGATGTTCTCAAGCAGAAAATGATTTTAGAGGTAAGTGAGGCATCGTTAACCCCTCAGAGATTGAGCTGAGGAATTATCTACACAACCACCCCCCACCCCCGCCCCACCCCAGAAGTCTGGGAATTGAGGTTACTTGTTTCTTGGCCAGCGATTTTCGCATAATGATCAACGTGTTCCAGTGAGGCAGATAAAAAAAGGTACACAGTTATGACTAACTGTCACCACCTACACTAAATCTAATGAGCTCAAACATATAATATACACCAGAAGACCACTGACTAAATAAAAGTTATTCATTTTCATCTGCGCCTTGAGCTCCTCTTCCTAAAAGAAAAAAAAATCCAAGTATATATATTCCCTCAGGCTTTCTCTCTCTATTAACAGTATATCTTTCTGGAAACCAGGCAGAAAAAGACACCAATAAAATGAAAAATGATATGCAAACATTCACGACATCTGTTTTTCTTTTGTCTCCTATACATACAGAGTGGAAACCCAAGGAGAGAAATCTATCATCAGTTAAGATAATGGGGAAAATCACAGTCCACAGCCAATTTTTCACATTGGCCTGATAGAAATAATAAGCAAGCATTTAAAAGAGGACGGCGGGCAATTAAAACATAATTAAAATAAATGGATAGAAGGAGACAGCCCACATGTCTTAACATGCAATACAAGGCTGTGTGCAACAGCCGGCTGAATGAATGCGAGTCTCCTTTGACAAAGCTTGTGTCTGCCTCACTCAAGCTGGAGAGGCGTCCAGTGAAAGAGAGTGAGAGACAGGGGGAGTTTGGGAGTTTCTAAGCCAGGAGGGACTAAATGGATGGGAGAGGGAGAGCAGAGGAGGAGAAGAATGGAAGGGGGAGAAAAGAAAGGGGCGGTAGGGTCACCGTGGAGGATTGACAGCCTGTGAGTGTGGCCTGACCTCCTGGGTTCGCCTCCAAGTTTTCTCCACAGGCTTAGAGAAGACAAAAATAAAGCCCAGGAATGTTAATTTATTTTCAATTGTCAACGCCGAGAAGAGAGAGATAAAGAGCGCATACATACATATCAAGTAAGACTGGAACAAAACTAATGCACCAAGTCCAAGTGTAAGCTGGAAACCTACAAGTGAAATAGAGATGTGGCTCTGTTGAGCTGGATCTTGCCAACACAATGATTCGTCTTCCACACTTTGAATAACTACTAATTTGGAGAACTTTCTGCTCCGCCCCCATGCCCTACATTCAGGGCAAAAAAAAAAAAAGACACACATGTGAGAGTGGAATTTCAAACATCAGAAAATGGTTGATGGGACAGAGGAGGGAGATGGGAACTACAGGAACTAAGAAAACACAGCCTCCAGACAATTTTTTTCTGTCCTCGGTGCACCCTGATGTTCCCAAGGAACTCTTTTGTCATGACAGTCCTGTCAGGGCTGCGCTTTCAACCCCTGCAGGGACATGATGTCATTTCCTTGGCTCCACCAGTGATGTAGAGAACTTGCCATCAACTGCCAGAAACAGAGATGGGCCGACACCAAGCACGGTCTGCAGACAGTTTTCTCAACACAGTGCTGATAAGATACTATTAGGTTAAACAGGTTGTAAACTGTCATTTACAGCCGTACACATTGAAATAAGATTTCCTAAATGTCTTGACTAGATGTGAAATGATTCCTTGACTAATTCATCAGGCAGTCAGCAGGAAAGTAAAAAAAACACTGGTTACAGCTTCTTAAATGGGGGTATTTGCTGCTTGTATGGTATTTTGTGATAGTAAACTGAATATTTGGGGATTTGGACTATTGGTTGGAGAAAACAATTTGAAATATTTGAACTTTGGGAAAATCTGAAGGACATTAGACATTTTTTGGACCTACTGATAACGTGAGACAAGTCTTGGCTAGGTGTAAGAGCAGTTTTAACTTTTAAGAGCAACACGATATCCTAAAGAAACCTTTTTTATGCTTTTTTTGATGAACGATTTTTAAAAAACATAAAAAGAGGTGACTAGAGAAGTGATCAAATAAATAGGTGACATCTTCAAATGTCTTTTGTCAGACCCACAGCCCAAACCAGATGTTCACTTTATTCTTAAGAAAGATTTCAGTAGAAATCAGTAAATATTCACAATTATCGACTTATTTGGCATCGATTAATCATTTCAGCTCAAGTTTGCTTGAATGCACTGAGGATTGAGTGCACTGATTTTTAGGAAAATTTAGCTTTGAATTAGTTCCTAGAAGCCAGTGTGTGCTACTTATGGCAGGTACTAATTACAGCTTGGTTCAGTACCTATAAATAATGTATATGTCAACAGGTGTTTTTACCTCTTGCATGTTCTGTTTAGGTCTGGGTCAGAATGACTTCCTATAACATTTAAATATGCAAAACTCTAATTCAAGGCACTTAAACTGCAGCTTTCATGTCTTGTTTTGTTTTGGGTTATAAATGGCTCCACACTGAAAGGCATATTAAAAGAAAAAAATGCTTTAAAGTTGAAATGTTCATCAGTGCAGTTCAAAAAGCCTAAAGATAAAGCCACTGAAAGGTGCAATGTTTCACTATTTTACTGAGAGTGCACAACAGTTGGTGTGTTCAGAGGCTCTTGGCCAAATGATTGAGGCAGCAGATAAGATAGAGTGCCAGCGGGCAGATGGACATGGTGAAACAGAGAGGGGTTAGCAAAGAAGCTTAGTAAAGTGAAGAGAACAAAGAAGACCCAGACTGAACAACCAGGTTAGTCTTCAAAAAGGAGTTGTGCGGAAGAGCAGACATTTGGACAAAAAAATGGATGTTTCTGTCTAGGTTTGTAGTTAAAATCACCTGTCAACCAAATAATGAAACATTCCTGAAAAATGCACTACTATTGGCTGTTTTTACCGCAAGAACACAAACAGGTGTGATTAGATGAAACAGTTGTACAGTTTGTTGCATGGTTTGCAAATGACAATTATTTTCATTATAGATTAATCTACCAATTATTTTGTCTAAATAATGTCAGAAAATAGTAACAAATGCCAGTTTCCCAGAGTCCAAGATGACATCTTCAAATGTCTTCTTTTGTCTGACCAACAGCTCAAAATATTC